TAGAACTATCCTTTAATTCAACAAATTCTTTGGGATAAACGTTTTAAATGGGACTACTGAGGCATGGCACTCAAAGTTTACTTTATGACCCTTAAAATACAAAGTAGTGGGGGCATATGTATGGACAATACAGGTATGTATTAAGTACCTTTTGAGATCTTGGACTTGTCTAAGCATATTAATACATATATGATTTAAATCTGACACAGCAATGTTTCTGAAAGTAACTTTTGTTTCCTGAACATATGTAACAAGCTCAACCTTGTTAAGCTTGAGTGGCAAACCAGATTTATAATTAAACAAAAAGGGGAACCCGGCTGCCTCAGTCTTAGAGCATGTGACTCTTGACCTTGGGGTCATGGGTTCAAGCCCCCCCACTGGCGGTAGAGCTTACTTAAAAAAAAATTTTTTTTAATTAAAAAACAAGAACCTAAAGTACTAATTTTAAGGTTTTCTTCTGGCTTTAATAAATATTAGGAATCAGAAAGCTAGAATTTTGATCATTTTGAATAAATCCTCTAAACTCTCACCCTATTTAAATCCCACCCAGCTCTTCAATTTTGTACTTCTACGCAAGTGGGAGTATTAATATGTGGAAGAAGTTAGAGCGTGGAGAGCTGAAAAGTTCCAAAAGAATAAAGCGCTATAATTAGTACTGTATGCGCATGTGTTAACACCTCAATCTTGAGCACGGCCCACTTAAAAAGTCACTATCAACTTTACAAGTCAAGATCAATGCAATATACAAAACATAATTAGAAAAAAATTTCAATAGTTATCAAAACCATCTAAAGAATTAAGAAATAAGAAAATTAGGAAAGTTAACCCAAGATATATAAAATCCACTAAAGTCTTAGTAAAAGGACAGCAATTCCAAAAGTATGAGTAAATTTAACTACAGAAAATTCTGAAAAACATTAAACTTCTAATAAATAAAAGACACTAAAAACATGAGTAATCAGAAGAAAACTAATTATTACCCTTGTTGACATACCTCTTCATCATCAAGGAAGGATTCAAACCAGTCCCATAGATCTGTAGGGGGCTGTGTGTACCTAGAATTACAAAAGATCAATTAGCCTTATGTGATTTAAAATGATGTATTTAATGGAAATGTAGATAAATGCATGCTTACCTTATATACATAAATCCAAGGGCTCTAATATATGGAGAGTCTGTGTGTGTTATGAGACCCATCACTTGCTTTCGAGTTAGCTTCAGAGTAAATAATTTGTATAACAAGCAGAAAGCTGTAGAAACAATTCCTCCTGTTCCAACACCTCGAACCTTTAGGGAAAACAGGTAAGAAAAAGTAGTAAAATAACTGACAGATATTTAACACCAACTGATTAATCCTATTAGGTATTAATAACAAGATATAATCCAGAACTAAGAATGGAGCATTAATAAAACAGCAACTTTCTAACCCCATTCACCAGACACTTGAATTTAGATAAAAACAAACTTCTAAGCTTTGCCAACTGTCATTTGAGTAACCGTCACTTTTAGCTTCCTAATTTTAAACTTAGTTATCAGACACAGAAAAACTGAAAAATGCACGTACTTCTACTTACCCCTCCGCACATCCCCGTTTGGCCTGCTGTTTTCCTGCTTCCTTTCTCCCATGGCTCAACATGCGTGACCTGAAATAGAAAAGAGGAACACAACAAACATTCATACTTCGAATTTTTTTAAAAACTATGATTAAAGTAAACCCAAGTCCATAATAGAGCAGCTTCTTCCAAAAGTTTGGAAGCTGATTTTGACATGATGCATATATTTTGTTTACATATATTATGTAAACCATCTTTGAAAAACTGCTTAGCTTTTAAAAAGCACCAATAAAACTGCCAGTTTAACAAAACCTCAACAGTTTTATGAGCAGAAATCCCATTAAAATAGGCTTTGTAGAGAGCTGATACTTGTGGAGCCAAGAGATTTCTAGTAGTCTCATATACTTGTAAAAAAATATTTGATAATGTATCAATTTTTTGAGTTGTTAAAAAAATTCTCATTTTAAAATGTATTTAAGGCTCCAACTTGAAGCAAAAAGTACCAATGAAGTTTTAGTATTTATTTCAAAAAAAGATTTAATACCCTTAACTTTATGGTGATTTAAAATTCTACATCATAAAATGAAGAAAAATGACTTGAAGTATGTATGTTAAAACAGTAACAAGTTACTTCTAATGCAAACCTATGGAACTTTATTTGTATATATATTTTTTTTTACCATGAACAGGCATTATGTTCATTCCTGATTAGAGATGAAATTACAAGGGCCACACCTACACAGAACATTCTTGTTAGTAATTTATTTTCAGTCTAATTATGTGAACCAATTCAATTTTCCCCAGAAAATAATTAAAAGCTAAGTGTGACTAGTCATTATATTATGTACGATCGATACAGTATCATCTTTGTTGAAGTGAGTACCCTATAAAAACCACATACTTTACCTAAAAATAGCAAAGAAAGAATTTTAGCTCGATAACATATAACTCAAGGTCTTTTAGAAAGATCTGTATTTCTTAATTTAAAATAAAATCAAAATAAAATCCTGTTCTTTCAGTATGCATTTCTAAAACTGTATTTTTGCCCACCCGTGGTTGCATTTTTAGTCTGTGGCTTCAGACAGAAAAGCATGCATTTAAATGTAAGCACTACACTATTATGCTCAGCACTGCTTTACGGTTTCATTTCCTTCCCCCAGTTTGCTGTATGAAAGATGTTTCAATTCCTTAAAGGCTAGCCAAAGGGGCGGATGCAACACGAAATCAAAACTAGAAGGCTACATATTTCAATGATCATTTAATCTGGACATCTTGATAACAAAGCCTGGATCTTTAGTTTTATAACTAAATTTAAATAATTTCTAGTACAGTCTTAAATTGTTTCAAAACACAGTATTCGTATTTGAAAACAAGCTTTTCCTCTATCACATTAACATCTGCCTGTATTATTAAACAGAACCTGCTACAAATAAAGCAGGAACCCAATTTTCAATTGTTTGAAGTTTACTACACAAAGCTAAGAATATTCACCGTACTGTATTCATGCTGAAAAAGGCCTTACCTTTTAAAAACTAAAAAACCTAGTTCATAGTATTACACTTACAATATTCTTATAAAAGGATAACAAAATTTCAGTGTACTTTACATACCCAAAGTTGAACTGTATTCTCAAAATATGATTTTCTATCAAAAAACAACTAGTATCTCAAAATCCTTCAATAACCTAATCGCTTAAGGGAGTGGGGTGGGGGGGAGGACTGTGGACAAAATAGAACCTAAAAGCAAATAAAGAGAATTTCCTCTTGCTAACACCTCTACAGGTATGTTCAGATCACAGAAAGTACTTTATGTGTTCTGTCAAATGTTTTAAGAGTCAAATACACAAGACAAATGGTATTTTGTTAGATGCTCTAGCTAAAGTATTTAAAGATCATTAAGACTGTTATTAATACTCCTTAAAATATTAATTAACCTTAAGAGGCCTGGAAGATATTTTTAAAACTACATAATTTGCAGGGAAGTGGAGAAAACCGATCTAGTTGGTGTAGAAAAGCCCAAAACCAATGGCCAAAAAATACCTAATTAGCCGTTCATTTAACCAGGGAAATGCATTTATGGCGATTGAGCATGATTAATAGTGCATACCTCTACCTGCGACCCTGGGCTGCTCCGAGCCTCGCTGCAAGACTGAGTCAATCCTGCTAACGAAACAAGAACTGAGACAAGAGTGCAGTGAGGAGGCGCCAGGTGAGCTCCCCAGCACAGCCAAGCCAGCACCGACCCTGCCGCAGAAGCCCAGGGCCCAGATAATTCTAAACAAGCCCAATGCACAAGTAACTGAGACCACTTACTCCTGACTTCCTGCTGGGAAAATTTCCAGGCCTTCTGTATACCTCTTGCCCTGGCACCTCTCCACCCTCAACCCTCCCACCCCCACCCGACACACGCACTGACCATTTCCCTGTCTGGATCGGATTGAGAATACCAACAACACGAGGCCAACACTGAAGTCAATGCACGCCCTGGCCCAGGGTGAGCGGGAGAAGCACCAACGAGTTGGCGCTGAGTAGATCCACGTCAAAAGGAATAATTTTAAAGCTGTAAACTGGAGAGGATTCAGTTACTCTTTTCTCCCCTCCCCCACCCCTCCCGTCCAACTCCCCCCAGGGGTGGGCAGGAGGTTGGGGGAGGAGAGTTCAATAGAGGCGGGCTCTCCCAGCCCTAAAAATCTGAAAAAGAAATGAGAGGGCGGCCCCAGTTTGACCCCTCCCAAGCGGACTACTGACCACCGCTCCCCCACCCAACCTTCCCGCACCTACAAATGCTCAGATCTCAAGGGCCGCCTCCGCCCGTTTCCTCTAACCCCTCCTCGGAACTTAACCCGCCCGCCCCCTGGCCCCCCAGGCCTCGACTCTTCGTACCTTAAAGTAGATCTCGTCCACCACCTCGTGGTAGGTCTTGAGCTCGTAGAGCTGCACTTTGAAGTAAGGCGACGACAGGATATTGGTCAAGATCATGGGGTTGAGGTTCATAGTCTTCTCGTTGCCCCACAGCGGCAGCACATTTCCCTGCTTGCCCGAGACCGCCGGCTTGGTGGCGCCGCCGCCGCCACCGCCGCACTGCTGCTGCTGCTGGGCCGCGGCCGCGGCCGCCTGGTGCTGCGGCTGTGAGTTGCCTGTCAGCGCGGGGCTGTTGTTAGCCATGTTGCGGCGGAAGGAAGGAGGGAGGGTGAAGGGAGGGGGAGGGGGCCAAGCTCGATCTCGCTCTTCGGGACAACGGTCCGGGACCCTACTCCATGGAACGCCGTCAGGAGAGGGGGGCCACCTCGCTGTCCCCCAGCTGGATGAAGGAGGGCAACGGGGACGCCGACAAAAGGACCCTGGATCGAAAGCAGACGCCGAGACGCGGGCCGCGAGAACTCCCGGCAGAAGGCGAGCCGGCTGCCACAGAGCGCGATCTCTTCCGCCAACTGCCCCTGGGAACAAGATGGCGGGCCCGGCGGATGTGACGTCGGAAGCCCCAGAATTCCAAGCTGAGACGGCAGCCAATCAGACACGTCTAGCTGGGCTGGAAATTCCTCTTCCTAGTTCCGCACGTTGTGTGCACGCTGCGGCAGCTGCGGTGGTTTCCAGTGCCCGACTCTTAGGTTTCCCCTGGGAATTTGGGGGCAGCGGAAGGGATTGAAGGCCCAATTCGTATGTTTTAGAATCTCGGTTGGGGGCCTAGTTTCTCCTCTTGAAAGCCGGGCAGGAGAGGGTTCGCATGGATATATGCTTGCGAATTCGTGACTCTGGCTTCTACGGAGTATCCTAGTCTCTTGGGTTCACAATTTTAAAGAATCTCTGGAAGGGGTGATGTTCAGGACTTCATTCCTCCATGTGATTCCGATGCAATAGTTACATCTTTCTATCCGCCGGCTGTAGTGTACGGCCGGAAGTTTTATTGTTTGAGCCCAAATTTATTCAGCTGTAAGATTGGAAAACATCGTTCTGGACTGTTAAAACATCGGAGCATTAAAAGAGCTACTATACCTGTAGAGCCTAGTAGAATTCTACAAGCGTTTGTTAGGTGCCTTTCTTTCCTCCCTACTCGAGTTCCTTCTGCAGATGCATTCTGAGTGGTAAACACTGGGCGAGGCACTGAACGGGGGAGGAGGGAGGCAAGCGGGAGGAGGTGTAAAAATGAGTCAGAATCGGTCTTGTCACTCAAAAGCTATTGTTAACCTAGAGGAGATTCGTGGTATTTGGGAATTAAGAGAAGGCTGCGAGAAGCACTTAAGTTTATACAGATAACTGTCAGGCTGGGCAGTTTTATCAGCAGAGAACAGCCTGAGGATATGTAGAAGCAGGAAAGATCAGGCCTGTTAGACGGTAAATGGTCCATTACAGGAGCCAGGAAATGTGCTGTTGGGGGAGTAATGGCTGGGGTGGAATTGGGCCACTGTTTAGTGCCTGGAATGCCAAGATGAAACATAGGAATTTAATGACATTTAAAGCTAAGGATTACATAATTAGATCTATGACCCCCAAATCTACTTACAGATATTAATATTCCTAATATTTTCTGACTCCAACCCATTCTTTAGAGTACTGCCAGATTCTTCGTTCCAAAAGTGTAACACTCCTACTCAAAACCTTGGGTGGCTCACTTAGTGACATCCTAATTGCCATTGCCAAAATTCAGTGACCTTTTTCACTCTTCATCCTATTTGATTTCTGTGGCACTTTTTAAGTTTTATTTAAGTAATCTCTACACCTGGGTCTCAAACTCACCACCCAAGAAGAGCAAGAGTTGCATGCTCTTTGGCCTAAGCCAGCCAGGTGCCCCTGTGGCACTTTTTATCATTTACTCGTTCCTAGAAACTATTGGTGTTGGAAGTTTGAAAGTGGAGATCTTAATTTTCAGTGGCTTGTACACAGGAGGAGGGGAAAGTCCACACCTGGATGAAGTTGAAACAGCAGGAGAGAAAAGACAAGTAGGAGGTAAACTGGGATACTGTGGTAAGACAGAATGCAAGGAAAGATAAATGATAAATAAATGAATGGTTGGAGGGATATCTGGGTGGCTTAGTTGGTTACACCTTTGCCTTCTGTTCAGGTCATGATCTCAGAGTCCTGCGATGGAGCCAGGTATAGGGCTCCCTGCTCCCTCCCTCTGCCTCTGCCTCTGCCCCTCCCCCTGCTCAGGCTCTCTCCCTCTCTCTCAAATAGTTAAAATCTTTTTTTAAATAATAAGTAAATGAATGGTTGGAATGACATATTTAGAGTTAGATAGACAGTACATGAGTGATCATCCTTTCTAGTTTATTTTACATTAAAAACTAGCTTTGAGAGAAGTGGTTTTCACTTCCTAGTAGATCTTGTTTTTCTATACATTAGATTATACCAATGTACTTCCCAAGGAAAACTGATGATTCCAACCTCTAATGAGTTACCAAGTTAAAAATACAACGAAAAATAATTTTGAACCCTGTTCTTCCTTTAATTATGTGTATTTTTCTGTCTGCATAAGTGAGTTTACCTAGTGACACTCCAATTGCCAAATTCTATGATCTTTTAAAAATTCCTTACCACATGTGATCTGTGTAGTCTTAGATACTCATTTACCCCTAGACTCTGAGTGAAATGTGCTCAGTAGAGAGGTTGAGGTTTAATATCGAAGTCTCAAGAGCACCAAACTAAGGGAGCCAGGTATTATGATAAAGTGCTTAGCATAGTCAATGAATCCCTACAACAGCCTGAAGATATTATTGTTATCCCCCATGAAAAATAAACTTTATTGGGGTGCCTGGGTGGCTCAGTCGTTAAGTGTCTGCCTTCGGCTCAGGTCATGATCCCAGGGTCCTGGGATTGAGCCCCACATTGAAGCCTGTTTCTCTCTCTCCCACTATCCCTGCTTGTGTTCCCTCTCTCGCTGTGTCTCTGCCAAATAAATAAAACTTAAAAAAAAAACAAACTTTATTGATATTTAACTTAGGAACACTACACTGTATATAGATAAAGCTGGGAGGTTTGGTTTGATCTGATTGACACGTGCACACCCATTGTCTTAGTCCATTCATGCTGTTATAACAAATAACCACAAATGGGATAGCTTATAAATATCAGTAATTTATTTCTCACAGTTTTGAATGCTAAAGAGTCCAAGATCAAGGGACATGCTCTTCTTGGCACTTTCTGGATGTACTTACATGGTTGAAAGGGTGGGGAACTTCCTGGGGTCTTGTTCATAAGAGCACTAATCCCATGTAAGAGGGCTCCACCCTCATCATTTAAACATCTCCTGAAGGCCTCACCTCCTAATAGGGTCAATTTGGAGGTTAGAATTTCAACATAAAAATCTTGCAGGGATACATTCAGACCACAGCACCCATTAAATCATCACCACCACAATCAAGATAACAGTCTTGCATCACCTCCAAAAGTTCTGTGCCTTTTGTAATCCGCGTCTCCCTCCAACTCCATACCCAGGCAGCCAATTTCTGTCAGTTTTCATTTTCTTGAATTTTAAATAAATGGAATCATACACTTAGTTCCCTTTTTGCCTGGCTTCTTCAGCTCAGCATCAGCTTGAGATTTATCCTTATTGCTTTTATCAACAGGTTATGGGTTTTGTTTGGTTTTGTTTTTATTACTGAGTAGTATTCCATTGTGGGATTTCCACAATTTGTTCAATCATCTGTTGATGGGCATTTGGGTATCTAATTTTGGGCTATTATAAATATAGCTGCTATCAACTCAGTCAAGCTTCTGACTCTTCATTTTTGGCTTAGGTCAGGGATCTCTGGTGGTGGGATTGAGCCCTGCCTCAGGCTCTGCACTCAGCACTCAGAGGAGTCGGCTTGTCCCTCCCTCTCCACCTCTCCCTGCGTTTACTTTCTCTCTCTAAAATAAATAAAACCTTTAAAAAAAATGTATCACTCATGAATAAGTGAGTAAAGAATTAAAATAACTGCCATGTGTATCTAAACTAAATGTTCTGGTGTTTTAAACATTTTACTGTTTAGAACAACTGCAAATCTAGAGTAACATAAGAAACCATTGACTGAAGTACCCAAGAACTAAAAATCTGATACAATGTATACACATTCAGGGGTGTTGTTGATATGAACAATCAAGGATGTTTATTGGTTATGATTTCAAAGTACTGACTCAGAAGAGGTATGAGTTGAGATTTAAAAATTATTAGGGGTGCCTCGCTGGCTCAGTCCATAGAGCATATAACTCTTGAACTCGGGTTGTGAGTTTGGCCCCCTGTTGGGTATAGAGATTACCTAAAAAATTATTAGGAGTGAACTAGGCAAATATAAGGGAAAGGATATTCTAGTTAAGGCTAGCCTGTGCAAAGGCTCTGAGGCGTGAAAGAACAAATGATGTATTTGGGGAACTATTTGTCACTATTGCACTACTTAATTTTTTTTTCAAGGGTGATATGAAAAATTGGTACAGACATACAAATGTATACTGGCTGAATATTAATTCTGAATACACTGTAATTATCTGCTGATTTGTCATCTTCAGCCACCAGAGGGAGGGTCTGTGCCTTTCAGTGAATCATTCCCAGCACTAGGCATAAGGATGGACACATAGTAGGTACTAAGAGTTAAAAGAAAACTTTTCTACTCGCTTTTGACACATGTGTGGGTTCCCCCCCTTCTGCCCCAACACATACACCAACCAATTTTCAAACTCTAGACACCAGCTGTGTGTTCTATAATTTAATTTGATTCTGATAGTAACTACTCAGAGTTACCACAGACTGCAGAGTTAAGGGCTCAGTTCCCCAAGACTGACCCAACTTCAGACTCCGATTACAAAGAGTGGGTCCGTTATTCCTACCATCTTCCAGAGTTCTCTACAGTGAGGGTTGTTATAGAATGTTTTTTTTCTTCTCTTGTTCTCTATATAAACGCAAACTTTCTTCTCTTGATACATTTTTTTAAAGGTAAGAACTTTTTTTTAGAGAATTTTTTTTATTTTTATTTGTTTTTATTTATTTGAGAGAGAGAGAATGAGAGATAGAGAGCATGAGAGGGAAGAGGGTCAGAGGGAGAAGCAGACTCCCTGCTGAGCAGGGAGCCCAATATGGGACTCAATCCCGGGACTCCAGGATCATGACCTGAGCGGAAGGCAGTCGCTTAACCAACTGAGCCACCCAGGCGCCCAGAACTTTTTTTTTTTTTAATTTTATTTATTTGACAGAGAGACACAGCCAGAGAGGGAACACAAGCAGGGGGAGTGGGATCAGGAGAAGCAGGCTTCCCACTGAGCAGGGAGCCCAATGCGGGGCTCGATCCCAGGACCCTGGGATCATGACCTGAGCCGAAGGCAGATGGTTAATGGCTGAGCCACTGAGGCGCCCCCTGGGTTTAAATTCTGTCTCCATTATTTTGATTTAAACAAGTTATTTCACTTTTCTCTGCTTTCATTATCTCACCTGTTAAAATGGGGGATGTTATTATTACCTACTTCATCAGATTTTATGTGAATCAAATTTAGGATATATGTTAATGCTTAGATCAGGACTTAGCACATACTGTGACCTTAAATGTTTTCCATTACTGTTTTCTAAATAGCATTTAACATTTTTATTAAATTCTAAATTCACCTTTAAAATGTTATTGCAATCTTATTTTCTAAATCTGTTAACTTTTTACTTCCCATTAGGAATCTAAATTCTGATACAGTGTTTTGCCAGAGATATTTCTGTGTGGCTGCCAACTGTATAGCACAGCCAGGATTACAGATGGGATTGATCTCCTCAGCAGATGGGTCATAAACTTGATACCAGATTTATTTTAAGCTGTTAACGAGAAATAAGGAATATTTCAGAGGTTATATCTCAAAACTTTGAAAATCACATGAGAGAATAACTGGGAATAACAGCCCTTCTCTGTATGGCTTTGGCATACCTATTGCCCCTTCTAAGTGTAATTGTCTTACTCCTAGTGCTGTTGACAGGGCAACCCTGTGTGGCCATAATTTATACCAAGTCACCTTGGCTGTCTGGCCAGAGCGAGTACTGATCCACATGCTAACCAGTGACCTGTGATCTGGCTCCCTCTGAATGAGATGAGCCGGGGCTTCCAGATCCTTGCTGGAATTTGAATGTGGAACATAGAATCAAGCAGTTAGCTGTAGGCCCCAAAGCAAAAAGAATGTTTTTTGTTTTGTTTTGTTTTGTTTTTAGGTAGGCTCCATGCCCATCATGGGGCTTAAACTCACAACCCTGAGATTAAGAGTCCTGGGCTCTACCAACTGAGCCAGCCAGGCACCCCAATTAAAGAATGGAGTGAGATAGGGAAGGAGTCATGTGGATTCAGCCAGGTTCATACCCAGATTCTGAGGAAGCAAGGAGAAAAAATGAGCAAGAACCTGTTGGAAACAACACGCTCAAAATGGAGTCACTTGTGCTAAGCCTCACCAAGATTTAATAGCTAATGCAGTTTCAGCCTTTAGGAGCAGAATTTTATTTATTTATTTATTTATTTATTTATTTATTTATTTATATTTATTTATTATGTTTCAAATTTTTATTTAAATTTAGTTAACATATAGTGTAATATTATTTTCAGGAATATAATTTAGTGATTCATCACTTACATATAACCCCCAGTGCTCATCACAAGCACCCTCCTTAATCCCCATCACCCATTTAGCCCATCCCTCCACCCAACTCCCCTCCAGCCACCCTCAGGTTGCTTTCTATAGTTAAGAGTCTGTCTAGGGGTGCCTGGGTGGCTCAGATGGTTGGGCATGTCTGCCTTTGGCTCAGGTCCTGATCTGGGATCGAGCCCCGAGTTGGACTCCCTGCTCAGTGCAGAGCCTGCTTATCCCTCTCCCTCTGCCAGTCCCTTTGCCAGTCCCTCTGCTTGTGCTCTCTGGTGCTCTCTCTGTGTCAAATAAATAAAATAAAATCTTAAAAAAAAAAAATAGAGTCTGTCTAGGAGTGGAATTTTAAACCAATCAGTCTGGAATTTCCT